TCCACTTCACAATACAGAGCGCAGGAGGTAGAACACAATGGAGCAAACCCCTCTTTCTCAGAGGTACAGTAAAGATTTGTCATTTACCTGCTTACTGCATTTTGAAATAATCTGACTGCTAAAACAGGCAGATTTCCAGTTTCTTTAAAGTTTATATTAAAATAAAAAAGCAGCCTGGTGGGGACAGGTCTCTGCAGGAGCCAAGATACTCTGGGAAAATGCCCAAGCTCTCTCAGTAGTTCTTGAGCTTCATCCAAACTCCCAAAGCAGGCTGGTGATACACAAGATGATGGCTCCCATCTCAGTTCAGATGTCCTGGACAACAGCCACTCTAAACCTGGGTGATTTCTCAGCCCCATCCTAAATAGCTGTAAAGGAGCTGACCTGTAAAGGCTTTTAAATAATCCTGAAGACAATCCAGTCAGTGATTAAGCGTGGCATTTGTATTTTTATTTCAATCCAAAACACTGAAATTCAGCATGCTGAAAATACAAGAATTTCACCTTTGTTCACAACACGCACATACATGCATATGCAGCCTCCAGATTATCATCACATGTTGGACAGGCATGCCTATGGCTTATGCCACATTTTCATGCCAGTCTCGTGAGTGGCAAAGTCATCCCGAGTGTCTGCTCCTACCACTTCTTTTTTTACATGTGTATTTTATGCCTGATGGGAAGGAAGCGAAACTAAAAGTTGCTGCTCTTCCCCCTCCGTGCTTATTGCGCAACGGTAACCTTTGCTCAGGACAGCATTTTCATGGCTAGGAGATTCAGACGTGATTGAGACATGTTACACCAGTATAGGACATGCCAGGTAAACCTACTGGGTACCAGGGATTGATCAGTATGTTCACCTGGATATTTTCACCTGTGAAAGTACATCTACAACCCTGCTCAGTGCTACTGTGTGCCTTGCAGAAATGGCTCCCAGGCATAGACATGTGGTGATGCTGCTTCTGCCTGCACCCAGCAGTGCCAGGTAGCTCTGTGCACACCTCCTTCCGCAGGCTCCTCCTCAACCACGTGCCTCCAACCTCCTCTTGCAGAACTAGTCCCACCTTGTGAGGTCCTGCGTGTTTTCCCTGCCTTTCTCAGCTCAGCCTTGATCACGCAGGCTTTTTGAGCACTGATTAGTCGAACAAAAGTCTATAAAGAACACCCTTGTTACACTAGTTGTCCTCCACCATAAATTCACATTTTTCACAAAATACATTTTTTTGCTCACTTCCACTTCCATCCTATTTTCTTCAACCCTGACCATTATTTGTTTTTTCCCCTTCGTTTCACCAACCATCATTAACTTCAGCTATCCTAAACACGTAGAAGGAAAAAGCCTCCTTGAACAAGCTTTTGGTGAGACCTTATGTTTTTGGATACTATCACTGCTGCTCTCCCCATCTTCCAAGGGCGCAGTTGTTGCAGATCAGGAGATACATCACAGACATTATTTACCTTCCTAGAAAGATCCCCATTTCAGTGCAAATCTCTCTCCTGCATCTGGCTTTACCAGAACACTGCATTCCTCCATTTCTTTCCCTATCCATAGTTGTTTATATTACCTTCCAAAAAGTAATTATTTGGAACCAGTTAAGCCTGTACATGAATTCTGCCTTTGTTTAAAACACATTGTACACATGTATATATTTAGACTGTCATTAAATATTTAAGAGGCTGTCTTCAGACTTCAGCAGCAGCACTGTTCATTCACTTAACCCTTTGTGAAACAGAAAGCCTGATGCTGAAATCCTACCATGGAGTAATTCAGAAAGCCCAGTTTGTAAAGAAAGCAGAGGTTTTCTTTGTTTTCTTTTATATCCTGTTTGCTAGTAGTCTAATCAAAATGCGATTCATTTTAGTCTGTATCAGCTTTATCTGCTGAGATGCATAACTGGGGTGCAAACCAATTAGCTGGAACATATAGATGGATCGTCCAGTATAATTCAGGGAGACACAGTCAAATACGCACACGCTCATGCCTCCTTCCCCCAAAGAAATAAGACACTGCACGCATTTTACCACAGGTCAAGAAGGCACCTCTCTTGCCTTTTTCAATCCCCTAGAGAGGAAACAACACATCCCGCAGACAGGTGGACCTTGCTCGAACCCAACAACGAAGGCTGTGCCTTAGATGAAACCCCACCGCAAGTAACTTGTAACGTGCACTGGCACCAAGTGTAACCCAACTAACACTACACCCTGCTGACAGGAGATTACCATGGTTTAAAATCTGGTGACCTGATTCACCTGGCTTTGCAAGGCCTCTACCTAGAGCTGATCACTCATATTTCACCCTGGCAAGGACCGGTATCAGGGGCCAGCTCTCCACAGTCAAGGCACCAATGCTCCTGTAATCCATGTGAGGTGAAACAGTGCAAGTGTCACAGCAGAGGATGGGGAAAGGGGCACACAAGAGCACAGTACATGACTTTCCCAACTCTATATGGATACGCAAATGTACGTATCCTGGAGAACATGTTTTTCTTCTTTTTGATTAAAACCTTGAGGATGCATTATTAAATCCAAGCCCCAAAAGCCTCAAAGAAAGCAGCTCTGCATGCAGTTTTCAAGGCCTAGCTGTCTTTAGAGACATTCCTCTCCTAAGCACTACAGCCTCATTCACGATCATAAGCTACTTTAGGTGGGGCGAATAACAGAGTCCCTCCTACAGCTTTCACACCTGGTTTACACATTTGCACAGAAGCATTTTACCCAGCTGACTGCTGTGAGGCTACCCTGGGGATGTCACCTCCTGGCTGGGTTTTATGAAGGGAGCGAAGCACCAGGCGTGGTCCCTGTTTGCACGGGAGACACGGAGAACGCCGAGCTGGGAGATCAGCAGATGGCATACTTTGCTGTGAGTCGGCACCAGAGCAGGAGTGCAAAGGAAGCGGCAGCAGCACGCTCTGGCAGGTGCGCTCACTCAGGCAGGATGCCGGGTTAAAGAGCTTCAGCATTTGCAGTTCTTCACCAGAGCACGCCTGTCCCCCTCACTGGCCCACAGGTTCAACCTGCCTCAATTCTTGGAGTAATCTTCTTGTAATCATGTAATCATGTCTTTAACAGCAGCATTGCAACAAATGCTGAAGCTCCTATACACCACCCCAGATACAGCCGCATCACAGCAGGATGTACGGGTTTTGTATGAGTAGCACCGTGTACCAGTTGGGTTCATGCTTCCATATCCCCTGAGGGCTGTTATATACACCCCTCACTGCAAAATAAATGACAAAGACACTTTTGGAGGGGCAGAACTTATGGGGAGATGTCTATCTTTTATTAGACCAAATAGCATAGCTATAAAAAAAATTAATATGGCCCTACTCACATCAACCCACAGGCAGGTATGTTTGCTTTTATGACAACTCAACAGCTGTAGAATGAAGCAAATGACCGGGACTTTTCCTATCTGTAAATTAGTTCCAGTTGCTGAGATTCATGCCAAAAGCCAGCATAGCCTGCAAGGCTGCAATTATCAGGTCTCCTTCTTCCCCCCCCTCAAAAAAATATTTCCTAAAGGAGATCACAAGCCAAAGGGACTCTCAGGTCATACATAACATGAGCTTAGCTTAGTATCTCTAGTAATCGCTCAGCACTGCCACTGTATCTCTTCCACATGTGCATCATTTCATCACTCACCCATCAGTTTTCTGAGACTGAATGGAACTAAAAGCCCACCAGGTATTTGCACTGCTGTTTCCTCCCCCTCTGCAGCAGATTTACACCCTCACTGGTGGGTGAGCAGAGTTCACCCAGACACATGCAGCATTCCCAGGGCTGTGGTGCTGACCTTCCCAGTCCCTCCCACCCCCCCTGTGGACAGTTTCGATGGAGAAACAGGCAGCCAGCTGGAAATTCTGATCAGCATTAATGCCACCATAGTTTCTTCCCGGCTGCTCTCCAGGAGTATTTTTCCACCTACGCTCCTCTGTGCATCGCAAACCCCTCCAGCCGTTGGCAGCTCTTGGTGCAGCTCCAGCGCACACTACTCAGCACCGTACGGCTGGTCTGGTTCGATTCAGTGTCTAATTCCAGCTACACGGAAACATTCTCATGCGAGAAACTTCATCTACAGCCACCTACTCTGCAGCAAATGTAGTGGTGGTCGGCATTTAAATGAACTAATCAGTTGCAAACGGCTTAGTCAGCAGCGCAGTCCTGGAGGTAATTCCCAGGAAGCGATTTTCCCAGCAGCTATATATACAAACCTGAAAAGCAGACTGGAAGACAAGGGCAGCACCACAGCAGCACGAAATTTGGCTACACAGTGCCACTGCCAACAAATGAAAATAAAAATGAGGGAAAGCCTCAATCAAGAAACCAAGCAGCCACAGAAAACACACTGCGCTGCACTGCCAATGTATCCTCTCGCATTTAAGTATCAGAAACTCAGACACAGGATGCGAACAGTCAGCTTTTCTTTTTCCTCCTTTCTTTACTGATGCTGTGCTGGTTTGAAACGAAAGGAAAAAGAGAGCAAGGCAAGTTACTGTGGAGATACAGAGACACCGACCAGACACCAGGCAGTGTGTTTTGGAGAGAGCATCCTAGCAGTCACACTTAACAGCTACGCCACCAGAGAGCCAGGCTCACACACACACCGAAAAGGGATGAGGACTCATACAAACTTTGTCTTGGAGCAGTGAAGGCACAGGGCGCCCACCCCAAGGGGCACTGGGGGTATGAAGGGCAGCGCCAAATGCCAGAGCATCCTCCAGCAACACCTCTGTCACTGGCCAGGGCTGCAGACGCAGGTCATCAGTACCCGGGCAAGCAACGCCAGGGCTGTGGGACGCGGCGCTGCCCTTCAACACCTCCCTGCCACCTCCCCGGCCAAAGCAGCACCGAGCCAGGCACCGATCCACCCAAAGGAGAAACCGAGGCTCTCCTCTGGCCGCTATCAGCGTGCCGGCACACATCTGCTCACATCTGCCCAGCAGCCGGGGCTGCCTGCGGAGCCAGGCACGCTCGCATGGGTAAGGGGCACCGCTCACTTACTTTTCATACTCGGCGTTGTCTCGATCACAGCGCGAATCCTTGTGCTTTTGCCAGTCTTTGCCATGCTTGCAGGTGGTCAAGAGGACAACATCCTCACCGTTATGGACGTGATATAAGGCATTCCTGGTGTCTGACCCTATCCCCGTCAGGTACCTTTTCCCCTTGAATACCAACATGTACTTCCTGAGAGGAGGGATGGTGTTAAACCTCAAAAATCCCTTCTCCCCTCCTGTCCTAGGATGATCCTTAGAAAAGAGCGGGATAGAAACGTCAAAGTTGGGTCTGAAGTTTTCAGTACTGATGCTGGCTTTGGCCAGCATGGCCTGGCCGATGTCAAACCCCACATCCTCGGTGTAGTCGGGCCAGGTGCCGGAATATAAATTAAAAATCAGGTGGTTTCTGCCGTTGTTCCACAGGTGGAGACTCTGCACCTTGGAGCGCAGGTTGTGCACGTACTGGGGGGAAAGCTGGTCCCGGTCCAGCGTGTCCAAGCTGAGGACGAAGAGGCAGGCCTGGCCGGGGTCGGAGGTGTAGAAGCGGGAGCCCTCGATGGCGGCCAGGACGTTCTGGTAGCTCTCGGCGATCTTCTCCCCCTTCTGCTGCGGGTACACGTAGACCTTGAAGCCGTTTTTCCGGCACTGGGCGAAGTCGAAGCAGGACTCCATGCGGCAGCGGCGCCCGCGGTAGAGGCCGGCGCTGGCGTCCCGCCGCTGCCGAGGGGAGACGCGCCCGCCGCCGCCCTCGGGGCCCGTCCGCTCGGCCGGTGCGAAGGGCCGCAGGGCGTCGGGGAAGCGGGGCCAGGGCCGCTCGGCGCCGGGGCGCGGGCCATGCCGGCTACCGGGCGGCGGTCGCCGTGCCGCCTGCAGCCACACGCCTCCCAGGTAGACCAGCAGGACGAGACAGGTGCCGGCGGACAGCAGCGTCAGGTAGCGTTTTTTGGCCTGCATGTGTCCGGCGGGGGTCCGGGGGGCTGCGGAGGAAGGCGGGGGCGCCCCGAGCTCGCCGGGCGCCGCTTTCAGCTCCGCTCCGCCATCTTCCCGCCGGCGAGCGCTTCAAACTCTCTTCGCCCACCTCCGCTCGGCGCCGTTCCCCAAGCCGCCGGCCGGGGCCGCGCATGTGGGCGACCGCCGCAACTTTCTCCCCGCCGGTCTCTCAGGGGCGGCGGGCGGCGGCGGGCCGGCGGCGGCCCGGCGGGGCGCCCCGCATGCACTCAGGGGCCGGCCCCCCGCGCGGGGCGGGCACCGGGGCAGCCCCGCTCCCGCCTTCCCGCCGCTGCCTGCCCTCTCCTTCGCCACGCTCCCGCCCGCCCCTCCCCTCCCCGCGCCGCCAGCCCAGCCCAGCCCAGCCCAGCACGGCCCGGCCCAGCGCGGCCCCGCCGGCTCACAGCCCGCGGCCGCCACGCCGCAGCCTGACGAAGCCCTGCATCGCCCGGCTGCCCCCCCGCCCGGCCCCGGCGCCGCTCGCTCCTCGCCGCGCTCCCGCTGAATGGCCCCCGGGACGAAGCGGCGGCGGCGAGGATCCTCCTCCCTCTCCTCCTCCTCCTTGCCCCTCCTCCCTTCCCCGCCTCCCCCGGGCCTCGGCCGCCGCAGCAGCGCCCCGCCGAGCCCCGCTCTGCCCGCCCGGCCCTGCCCCGCTCTGCCCGCCCGCGGGCCGCGACCCCCGCCTCACCCGGCCCCCCGCGCACCGCCCCCACCCCGGCACCGCCGCGCTGACCTCATCCAGCCACGCAGCCCCGCGCCCCCATTGGCGGGGCGTCACGTCCGGGGGGGCGGGGCTTCCGCTGCACCCATTCATAACGCGGCCGGAGGGGGAGCGCCGCCGGTGCGGTCGCCGTTGCCGGGACGGGAGGGGTTGGTGCTGGTGGGGGGGGTGTCTCCTTTCTGGGGGCAGTGGCACCGCTACGCCACGCACCCCCTGTGCATCAGTACAGCGAGACCGGGCCGGGCCTGGCCTAGCCCGTACGGGCCTTTCTTCGTCTTCCCACCCGGCCTGGTTTCCCCCGCCCCGGTCCGCTGCCACCGCCCCCCACCGGTGCAGCCCGCAGCCCCCCGGCCGGTGTACCCCGCTGTGTGCCGGTGCCGCTGCTGCCCCCTGCCGAGCGCGGCGCCGCGGTGCCGGAGCCGCCCTGGGGAACGGCTGGGCTGGGAGCGTGCCGGGGACACAGACCCGGCTGCCTATCGCGGGGGAGAGACCCAATAACCCAAACACTGCCTGCGAACAAGCGCCCTTCGTGGTGAGGGCAGTGTCTGCCCTCCCGTCTTACAGTGGGGAAGGCGGAGGAGAGAAAAGACGCGGCTCCGCTGCTTGCACTGGAGCTGCCGTCAAGCCCAGCGCTCCCCACCGGCTTCGGCCGGGGTGCGATGTCCCTGGGGAGGAGGCCCTGCGTGCCCCGGAGGTGGATTCTTGGGACTGGCAGACAATGAGAAAACGCTGATCAGCTGAGTAGTGTGCAGGGAGCTGCCTGAGCACCCAGCCACCCCTGCAGCTACGTGTTTGTGCTTCGTGTCATCCCTCCTTGGCGTTCGGTTCAGCCGCCAGCAGCCTGGGTCCATCGGGAGAGCCCTCCTCTCCCGGGCAGGCTGCCCGGTACGCGAGTGCAGGGGTAGCGTGCGCAGCTGGGAGCCCCGGCTTGCTCCGGCACACGCGGCACTGGCAGGGGTGATGGCACCGCACGTACGTGTTCATGTTTCAATCCTGCTAGCTCAGCAAGTAATAACGGGGAAATTGAGTGGGATGGGCTTCAAGCTGGTTGCACCAGACCCTGGATGTCAAGAAACTATCAGGTGCTAAAGCCTGTGCCAGTGTGCTTTCCCTGATGCTCCTTTCCAGTGCTAAAGCTGTAACCTTCCCCCGGCTGCAATCCCACCTCCCGCTCTGCTGCTGCCAGATCCAGAAGTGTCTCACATGATCTGAGTGACAAGAAGCCATGTCTTGGCCAAAAGTATCACCATCCCTGTGTTTTTCCATGCTCATCCCACGAGTGAGCTGTGGTTCCTATTGTGTTCTTTCCTCTTCTTCCTCCACTTCTGCAGAGTTAAGGGGGTGAATTGTGAGGGTAACTTGAGTGACAACAGCGTGCTTCCTCAGTGAAAGAGGTGAGAACCTACCATGGAAGGGCACATTAATGGCAGTAAATAAAGTTTAATCTTGTTGCTGGAGCTAAGACAGTTCCCTTCCAAAATAATCTGATTGTAGGGATGACTGTTGAAGGAAGGAGGCCAGGGCCTGAGGCAGAAGAAAGGAGTTGGGAATATTAATAATACGAAAGAAGTCAAATTCTGAGAAGAAAGTCATATTTGCGGCTGGCATAGCTTTGGGTCCAGGGGGATAGAAATTTTGGCCCATGACCTGCTAGTGGGGAAGCAGGATTAAATATTAATGTGTTAATTAACCCTGTAATCCTTTCCTGAAACATTTGTCACAGCCCACATACAAACCCGGGATGCTGTTCAAGAAAAAAAGAGGTCAGCTTCTTGAAAGGTGAACCAAGGCTGCTTCGCAGAGGCACCTTCTGTCAGGCACAGAAAGGTGGAATCCCATTACTGGCTGCAAATTAAGCCTCTGGGGACCAGTTTCAAACAGAAAAAGAAGCCTGTAAGGTTTGCTGCCTGCACCAAGGACAGTAGCTGTTGCTGTAGGTTTTGAGGATGGGGTGCTGGGGAGCCTGTATCACGAAAGTGCTGCTCACCACAACAGAGAAGTGTAGGAGGGAAGTGAAAGCTGTTGGGTTTCCAGCTGAACTGCCATGTGCTTGCGGCACCCACGCTGCTGCCCGCCACACAGCAGCAGTGAATACTTAAGCTTTGACATATTTGGATCTGGACAAGGGCAGTTAGGGTGTCATTTTAGAGGACAGAGAAATAAACCTCTGCAGATCACTGCTGCTAGGCTTTACCCATAGGATTCCTGAGAAGTGATTCAGAGCAGCCCTGCAGAGAAGGACTTGGGGGTGTTGGTTGATGAGAAACTTAGCATGAGCCGGCTTCAGTGTGCGCTTGCAGCCCAGAAAGCCAACCATATCCTGGGCTGCATCAAAAGGAGCGTGACCAGCAGGCTGAACAAGGTGATCCTGCCCCTTTATTCTGCTCTCGTGAGACCTCACCTGGAGTATTGTGTGCAGTTCTGGTGTCCTCAACATAAAAAGGACATGGAACTGTTGGAACAAGTCCAGAGGAGGGCCATGAGGATGATCAGGGGACTGGAGCACCTCCTGTATGAAGATGGGCTGAGAAAGTTGGGGCTGTTCAACCTGGAAAAGAGAAGGCTGCGTGGAGACCTCATAGCAGCCTTCCAGTGTCTGAAGGCATCTACAAGGATGCTGGAGAGGGACTCTTCATTAAGAACTGTGGTGATAGGACGAGGGGGAATGGGTTCAAACTTAACAGGGGGAGTTCAGGTTAGATATAAGGAAGAAGTTCTTTACTGTAAGGGTGCTGAGGCACTGGAATGGGTTGCCCAAAGAAGTGGCAAATGTTCCATCTCTGTTAGTGTTCAAGGCCAGGTTGGACAGAGCCTTGGGTGACATGATCCAGTGTGAGGCATCCCTGCACATGACAGATGGGTTGGAACTGGATGATCTTGAGGTCCTTTCCAACCCTAACTATTCTATGATGATTCTATGAGTTGTGGAACAATTGCTCCATACAATTCTGGATCCTGTTGTGCTGGGCAAGGCTTGCTTGAGGAGATACGTGCATACTCCTAGCTGCAGAAGGAGAGGGACTGTGATGATCAGTTGCCTTTTTGAAGGCCACCTTTCTAAACCAACTATCACTCACCACTTGTAATATTCCCACATACAGAATGACATGAGCCTGGCTTTATTTTGCTGTTGTTGTTCAGGCCCTGTGGACAGCGTGGCAGCCAACAGGAATCTCACAGCCTGCCTTCAGTCTTCAAGCAGAGTTCTCCACAGTCCTGGCAGGCACTGGTGCAGAGTGCTCCAGAAGTGAAAGCCTACCTCTGTCTGTAATAAATCTGCCTGCATCTGCTACCAGGCAGGAGGATGGTGGAGCACAAACCAGTGTATAATAGAAATCCTGCTTGGGGAAGAGGAAGAATTGGTGGTGAAAGGGTATTTCAGCATATCCACGTGGCAAATACATGAGTTACAGCCCCCAGGTTTGCTCTGGCCACTGGTTCCTGCTAAGGGTCTGCAAGCTTGCAGGTGGCTTTTGACTCTGGTCCATTACCCTTTGCACTCTTCCAAATAATTTATATCTTCATACGGCTGGCAGTTGTCTGGGAATCTGTCCAAGCCCTCAAATGAAAGGCCAGGAGAGGGAATCGGTTTTCTATTTCTGGCTTTGCAACTTAACACCTGCCCAATCTGTGGCAAGTCACTTGGGGCCAGATTCTTAAAGAGGTGGATTAGTGTGGGCTTCTCGTTTTGGGTCTTGCTCTTGGTGTCCAGCTATAGCTTTAGATGTCTCCAGAGTTTAATTCCTAAGAGTCACCCACATGAATCCCATGGTACCTTCCACTTTTTGCATGTGAAAAATATCCTACTGCTTTGCACACTTTGATGCACCTTAGTTTTTATGCTGATTGATGTCCTTGACTAACCCACTGGGCATTAGTTGTTCCTTCATCTACTCTGCCTACAGGGTTAAACTCTGAATCTCAAAACGTGCCTCTCCAGATGTCCCTTCCAACCCTAGGAAGGAAGGAACAATAACAGTTTGGTGATTCTATGATTGAAATCCACACAAAACAGAAGGGAAGAAATGCTGTCACATGCTCACCTGTCCCTAACCCTCTTTTATAAAACCTGGTAACTCTGTGCTTAAAGCGTTTGCCCAAGTAGGAGACCTAGAATTGCCCTTGTGCCTTCCAGGAGAGCATCCTCCCAGAGTGGGTAGAGTGGGACTCACCTCCTGAGACTGGCTTGTTCTACTAACTACCTGGGGCAATCACTCTACTGGCTTACCTGGGGGCCTCAGATTTCCAGCTAAATTGAGTTGATAATGCTTTCCTGGCTAATAGGACAGTGCAAGAGCTGATTTATCACCACTGTCAAGTGTGTCATGATCCTAGGGAGAAAGGCAGCATAAAAAATGCAGTGCATCTGAAATATTTGGAAGGGCTTGGCAGCAGGCACGTGCGCAGTTAAAAAATGTTACCCTGTTGCTTAATTAGCTCAAACCACCATTATAGAATCATACAATGGTTTGGGTTGGAAAGGACCTTAAGGTCATCTGCTTCCAACCTTTCTGCCATGGG